CAGTTCAAGTTATCGCTACCAACACCGTTGCGGACGAACGAGAAAAACAACATCAAGGCAGGATCGTTTGATTGCTCGTAATGAAACACGGAGTAGAACCCTTATTGCCATCAAACACTGCCAGCGCTTTCAAGCAGTAAGTGGCATAAGGATATCAACGCAAACCATAAGGAGTAGACTTCACGAGCGTGGACTTACGGCAGAATACGGCTAATAGCAGAATGGAGTAGGTGCATGTTCGCAGATGAATGTAGGTTTAATTTATGTGGAAGTGATGGACGAGTTTTAGTATGGAGAGGGAGAAATTAACGATATCTGGAAGGAAACATGGATGCAAGGGACCTGTTTGTAGGTGCCGGTGTGGTTGTTAAGGGTGGTGTTTTGATGAATGAGAGAACGGATTTGGTTGTTTAACTGAGGGAATCGATGAATGCGGAAAGGTATCGAGACTGTATCAGTGATATTATTATTCCTTTCCACAAAACTTTGGAGACGATTTTGTCCTGGTGGACGACAATCTCGTATTTGTGAAAATTTTTAATAAAAATTTCTATAGTTGATTTTTTTTGTGCGCATTTATAGTGTCTTTTACGTCCAATAATTTACCCAGTATTTAAGGTTTCCGTGTTGGATACCTATTTGTCTATTGTCGGCCTGGTATGATGTTAAAACTGAAACCTTGCGTAAATTTCTTAGGTCATAGAAAATCTACATGAAATAGGCTTTCCGAATTTGAAGCGCCCGTGAAAATCCGTGATTTCGTTTTCGAACTATAGCATTTTAAAGATTGCATAACCAAAAGGCCTAAATCCAAAAAGTGACAAAAACGTCTAGAGATATTGATGTTACCTTAGTAACGAACCATATTGTAGCAACTAAAAAATGTTTTTGCCAAAGTGTCACACACACGAAATTTTTGCTTTTTTGCATGACATTGTTTATCACCCCGTATATCATGATAATAACTTTCCAACCAAAAATGTGTGACATGTAGCCTAATCTAGAAAAAACGCGCTTTTGAAAGCCGCAAACCGCATTCAAAAATATTTATTTTTAAAAAAGTTGCAGCTGTTCAAAAATAGGGCACAAAATTGAATGGGCCGAACTTAATGTTGACCAGTTTATATGTAAAAAAAAAGAACAAGAAGATACTCACCACCGGAATTATTGGTTCAAGATGTCGGCAATGGGTTCTTATAGGAAGTTGAAGTAAATCATTGATTGAATTATTTAAATTATTGTGAAATTTCTTGAGATATTCTTCTCAGGTTTGATTTTGCATTGTTCAAGGACTATACTGCTACACTTTGAGATATTTCGTAAAATCTTACGGGTTTAGCAATAATTTGCCTAATTCTTCTTAGGGTTCTTGTTACAATAACTCGTTTCTGCTAATGTAAGAATATCCATGATTGTCCTCTTCCTATTAAGCAAAGATAGTAGATGGCTATTGGCCTATTTATAAACCATAAAGTAGTAAGTATACAAAATACTTCCTTACCGTGTAAAATACTGTTAGCTGAATGTGAAAATATAAATATAGTTATTTCACGGCACAACCACTAATTCCTGGAAAAGAAAATTCCCGAACGTGTAAAAACCCTAGAAAAGGAAAACCGCGAATAGGTGAAATAAAAAGTATAAAATTTTGAATTTCGAAATCACAAAATAAATAACAAAACCAACCAACACAAATCACTGTCTACAGATTCCTGCAAATTTATTTTATCTTTTGACAGTGTCGCCATCGTTGACTTAAAACTTAATAAAAAACCTTCGTCACCATTCTCCCATTTGAGAAATTTTTCTGGGATATGTTCTGTGAATAGAACACCTTGGATATTTTTTGCTAGAATGATTGATTTTTTCTTCTGAAAACAAATATACCATATACTGGGAACTGGGTACACACCTAATTTGGATGATATGAATGCATTTTTCAACTTGAATAGCGTAGAAACAGCTGAACTGAGAGCTGAACCAAATATCAACACATATGGTATATTTGGAATCAGAAATAAAAAATAAATCATTCTATCGAAAAATATGCACAATGTTCCATTTAAAAAATGCAAGTGTTTGTCATTATGACAGTTAGCACCTATCATTTGCGGGTCACCGTCAATTCGTCGTAGATCAATATGTCGTACGTCAATTCGTCGTATGCCAATTCGGCGTAAAGTCAATTCGTCGTATAAGTCAATTCGTCGTACAGGTCAATTCGTCGTAAAGTCAATTGGTCGTATACGTCAATTCATCGTAAAGTCAATTCGTCGCATACGTCAATTCGTCGTAACATTATTTCGTCGTATGGATAATTTGTCGTATAAGTCGAATCGTCGTATTTCAGGTATAATGTTGCAATATTGAAATGCATAAAGTCACACTGTCTGGGTATTTCAAACATTACCAAACTTTTCGATAATAACCCGGTTAGTTTGCAATTTGAATCAGACATTATATCGCAAAATAACCAGGTTATTATCGGTAAGTTTGATAATGTCTGATTGAAATTGCAAACTATTAACACGTTAATTCGTAGTATACGTCAATTAGTCGTATTGCTAATTCGATGAATGGAATGTATAAATTCACACTGTCTAGTTATTTCAGACATTACCAAACTTACCGATAATAACCCGGTTAGTTTGCAATTTGAATCAAACATTACATTGAAAACTAACCAGGTTATTATCGGTAAGTTTGTTTATAGCTGATTGAAATTGTAAACTATTAACACGTTTATTCGTCGTAAACGTCAATTCGTCGTATTGGTAATTCGTCGTATTTCAAATACGATGTTAAAATATACTTTTACTGTTTAATCAGACATTATCAACCTTACCGATAATAACGACGAATTACCTATATTGTCGTATACGTAACTTCACGACAATTCGGAAATACGACGAATTAACGCTACAACGAATTGACGTATACGACGAATTCACTTTACGGCGAATTGACGTGTACGACAAATTGACTTTACGACGAATCGACGTTTACGACTAATTGTCTTTACGACGAATTGACTTTACGACGTATTGACTTTACGACGAATTGACGTACGACGAATTGACTTACGACGAATTGACATAGACCCATCATTTGCCCGTTTTGACATGTGCAAAAGATAATAAGAGGTAAAACCTCAAGGTTGTTTGAGAGAGATAGGTTGCCTGATAATTTTATGACCTCATCTATGGTGCCTTAACATAATACAAATTTTCATAGGGCACCCCAGATGCGTCATCAAGTTACCCATTACCAGACAACCAATTACCTTTAGGAACCTACAACTTTTGTATTTAACATTTGTTTGTATTTATTTTATTTTTTTAAGTTGTAGACGCCGTACTAATTATAAAGAACAGACCCTCTACTACAATAAGTTGCAGGTTTGTTACTTAATTTTTTCCGAATTCTGAAGTACTAAAATAGTTGCAGCGCCTAAATTGAGATAGCTAGCAAAAAAAGTCATAAGGCAAAGTTGATCAGAATATCTATTATCTATAACTTTTACGGAGGACATTTGATCGAAAAAAAAAAATAATGAAAAAAAGGCCAATAGGGCGGAGCGCACAAGGCTTTCGGGTGTGATTTTTTCGCTGAATACTCAGGACACAGTCTCAAATCAGCTGTGAAAAAATAAGCTTGCTCTCGTAATTTTTTTGAAAAAACCTTTATGTACACTGAATTATTAAGCGGCACTAGTATTTATGCTAACTCAATATAAAAGGCCGATGCAATCACGGCATCTCTTTGGACCAGAGAGCTAACGAAATCCTAAGGAATACCAGACTCGTAACTAAGCTGTTTCATTCTTGCGGATCATCACGGTCTATGTACTGTCCGCCCAATTTAGGAACACCGGTTAAAAGAATGTGAAGAATTTAAGTTTATAGAAAATATAGTTGTCACGTACACTCACTACAAAAAACGAGGCGTTTGTTTAATAATTATTAACAAATAACAATTATTATTAAACGCCTCATTCTTTTGTAGGGAGTGTACGTAACAACTATGTTCTCTATGAACCTAAATTCTTCACTTTTTTTTAACAGGTGTTCTTATCTTGGGCGGACAGTACGCTGCAAAAGGGAAAGAGTCACGTGGCGCCTTTAAGAGTTAACACGGCGCATGCTATTAGCGTATGTTTTACTGGAGCAAACTCCTGGCCCTATTAGACCATCAGCTAATGACAGATTTTGCTGACCGATTTTCTCTTTTCGGAGATTTCAACCACAGTGCTGAGCTCAAAAATTTAGCGACCAGACGTCTGCTAGACATATGGAATAGTATATTGTTGTATTAGGAGTAGAAGCTTCACTTTTTTGTGCTGAAGCAGTAGGTTTGCGAGCCGAACGTATTGAGGCTTGCAATACTGCTGAAGCACAAAAAAGTGCTTCTACTCCGTATGCAACACGCTATTTTTTCTCCAAACGAATGGGGTAAGCTTCGGGGTAACTGAATGGTTAAGCGGCAGTAAAAGTACGAGCGGCACTAAAAGTACTTTTGCTGCCGCTGCAGCGGCACTAAAAGTACTTCTACTGCCGCTGCGGTTGCCTAGCAGCATAGAAATTAAATTTCTACCACCTCGACAGGTATTAACCCGCTGAATTTGCCTACCAGCATAGAAATTAAATTTCTGACATCTTTGCAGGTGCTGACAAAGTGATGTTTTTTTGACGTTTGGAGAAAAAATTTATTTTCCTTTTGCAGAATTTTTTTTTTTTTTTTTTAATTTTCTCTTTTATGGCATTTTAAGACATTAACATTAAATAACAACATGAAAATGAAAAACCAAAGCGATAAGATTTGCACGTACTGAAAGGGTTGAAATAAAGGCCTAGCAGACGTTCGGTCGCTTAATTTTCATTTTTTGAGCACTGACATAATTTTCAGTGGTTGAAATCCCCGAAAAGAGAAAATCGGTGAGCAAAATCTGTCTATATCTCTCTACTGAATCGTCTCTAGACACAAGACCTATGTGGTAGTACCTCATAAATTATTTTTGAGCAGGACATTAAATTAAACACATCATCAATACCAAGAAACCAGAATAATCGCAAGAATAGTTTTCTCGGCAAATTTTCCAGTTTCTTTTGTCCTGTGGTCAGTCCTGTGAGATAATCAAATACACCTTCTCCAAAAACAAGTTTTACTTCCTCTTGAAACATCTTGTGCGTCTTAAATTCATCAAAAATACAGTGTTTTTGTTTTGGCCATATATGGGGACCATAACTGACTCTCCAGACATTAAGTATCAACTAAAAATGGAAAGCAGCTTATTAGGTTTGTGTCTATAAGAGAGCTTAAGGACTATTTCAGGTAATTGTGTATTTTACTTACATTGGATTCGGTAATGGTGAGTCCATAGTAGTCCCTACAAGGAGCATTTGCGCGGGCGTAAAGCTGTAAGTTTTTATCTAGCCCCTTCATAATTTCCGGCTCTTTCATGCGGCGTTGATTTGTCATGATCTGTTATTGTCAGCATTGGCATATTTTTACCAGTCAATATGTATAGGTATTTCAATTGGGTCATAATCCAGGTATTGTTTCGATCTGAACCTCTGATCTGAACAAACTGATTGTAATCACATAAGGTTTGTTTATGAGGCGTTAAAAAAACAGTAAGGGCCAATGAAATCGTTGTAAAACCGGATGACAATTGTTTGAAACAAACCTCAAGTGATTCCGATCAGTTTGTTCAGATGGAAAGAATACCCATAGTGTAGGGTAAAATTTTCAAATCAGTATCTCTCAAGGGAACGTTAAATAACTTGAAATCTGTCAGTTCTGTTGTTGGATTGGTTGATGTGTGCGAACAAGGCATTTTAAGCAAGAGTCTGGAACAGTAATTTTTTTACGAGCGAGAAGATTTATAAAAATTAAAAATGAGACAATAAATTTAAAAAAATATATATTCAAAACAGAATACTCAGAAACAACTAACAAAAACTAATTATTCATTTGATTATTGTAAACGTTATTGAAAGATATTTGGTATGACCTTTGGGCTCTTGCAGGAACTGGCGACTCTATCTAAAATATGTTGTATTTCCTCGTTCTCTTGTGCTTCAATGTTTTCCATTTTTTGGCGAGTATCTAGGCTTAGGCTCACAATGTAGATAAAATAATGGGCAAAGAAAAGATGATAAATTAATTTGTTTGACACTGATGTGACACTGACCAACAAACACTGACAGCAAATTTCATGCAATCATTTAAGGTCTGTTCCCACAGAAATCACAAATTAGTCAGAGCGAATTTCATTGTTTGAAAATAGTCAGGAAACTGGTTGTTGGCGATTTGAACCAATCAAAAACGCTCTAGGTAACTGGTTTGTGATTTCTGTGGAAAGAGACCTTTAAGGGTACATCAATATTTTTACTGGTAATTTGTCAAAATTGAATGTTGTCAGTACTAGTGCGCAAAATTAACTCTTGTCCGCACTAGTGCGTAAAAGTGGATTCTGGGATCCCAACTGCGTGTGCATTTATCTATTTTGAGCACGCTCGTAGAAAAAAATATTTTTGTGAAAAATATTTTTTCTACAAACGTGTTAAAAGTGCAATTTTTAACATCCCCCTCGTAACATTAAAAAAGTTACTCTATCGCACTAGTGTTAAAAGTCTTTGAAGGTAGAATATTTAACTATTTGGCATTGCGGTATGCGGCAGCGGTGTGCCGTACTGCGATGTTCCGGATATCGCAACCCGCAAGCTGTTGGCTGATTCCATTTTTTGATCGCGACTTCAAAAATATTTGCCTGACAGGAGGAGGCACTTCTCTTATGGCAAATAGATTTCCGACAGATTTTTCTAAAATTTGGATATGCTGTAGTTTTTAAGGCTCTGATTAAAAGCCATCATTGGCCGAACCTTGTGCGGTTGATCGTTTAGCCTCCAGAAGACGTCAAAGTTTCATATAACTTGGTGTAATTATAAGTTATAAAATACATATAAATAATTTAGGATTATTATGAACATGTGCCATGTAAGATGTTTTGTATTAATATCGAAAAAATAACGACCAAATATTAATAAAAGTGATTTTTCAAACACTTAAATCCTTATTTCTGTGAGGAAAAGTTACCCAATTACACCAAGTTATATGAAACTTTGGCGCCCTCTGGAGGCTGAACTATCAACCATTTGAGGTTCGGCCAATGATAGCTTTTAATCAGAGTTTAAAAAACTACAACATATCCAAATTTTAGAAAAATCTGTCGGAGATCCATTTGCCATAAGAGAAGTGCCTCCTCCTTTGTTTTTTAACTGTCGGGCAAATGTTTTTGAAGTCGCGATCAAAAAATTGAATCAGCTACTCGTTATATTGAAAATATCATAATTTCAAGTCATTTCACAAAAATTCCTATTGATTGTACCTAAGACTTTCTTCTCAAGCACTCAAAATAAATGACCTACCACTTTTTGGATATCTTTGCAATTCTGCTCAAAATATACACAAGTAAAAGAAGACTGCGAGATGTACAGGGTCATCCAACGACGACTGAACAGGGGCTTATTTTTGACCTTCCCTGTTCCTGTAGTTTTGAAAAAATTCAAAATATCCAATTGGCATATATTTTTCTGGAGAATGCAAAAATGGTACAAAAAAATCATTTGAACCAAAAACCAAAAAGTTACGCCATGGGTGAACTGTTTTTCAAATGAAACACCCTGTTTTTGTATGATTTTTGGAAAGTCGCATTTTTCTATTTCTATTCTGTTGAAAATATTCGATATTCCGCTGTTTTTATTTTATTTCAATGTTTCATGCTTAATAATTTCAGCTTCTCCTTTTCAATTTAATAGGTTCATAGGTGATAGAGGTATAATCACCTTTTTTGTAAAATCAAAAGTTTGACATATTTTGTCGCCATCACAGATGTATTGAACAGGTGAAGCTAAAATTATTAAGGATGAAACATTAAAATAAAATAAAAATAGATATCGGAATATCAAATATTTTCAAAAGAATAGACGTTAAAAATGCGACTTTTCCAGAAATTATATAATAAACAGGGTGTTCCATTTGAAAAACAGTTCATCCATGGCGTAACTCTTTGGTTTTTAGTTCAAATGATTTTTTGGTACCATTTTTGAATTCTCCAGAAAAATATGCCAGTTGGCTATTTTGAATTTTTTCAAAACTATAGGAATGGGAAAAGTAAAAAATAAGCCCTAGTTGTCATCGGTGGATGAACCTGTACGTCTCGCACTCTTCACTTGTGTATATTTTGAGTAGAATTGCAAAGATATCAAACAAGTGGTAGGTAATTTATTTTGAGTGCTTGAAAAGAAAGCCTTAGGTACAATCAATAGGAATTATTGTGAAATGACTTAAAAATGTGATATTTTCCATATAACTTTGCATTGAGGGTTGGCAGGAGAGTTAGGGACCACTCCAGCTGCCGGCAAGATGTACTTTCCCATTTTTTAGGATTACAGGAATACAAATTTTAGCATTTTTGCCGGTCCTCACATTTTGCATACTCAACTACTTGTAGCGCCTGCTCTGTCTGTATTATCTACAATACCAACACTTTTTTTAACAAGGAAACGTGGCTGCTTGCATGTGTTTAGAATAGTAAGGAAGGAAAAAATTTGTATTCCAGTGCTTTCGGCTTTCGCCATTATCAGTACTAGGTACCTGTAAGCGAACAAAGAGGAGGTCAATAATAGTTATTTTTCTACTGACATTTCATAATACGCTATTAAACGATTAAAATCTGTATTATAATGAACTTCATTACGATACAGATTTTCATTATAATACTCATTTTTAATATTATACAATGTTGATAGATGGCAGCACTAGTTAAGATATTAAACATTTTTAACGGTAATTTTGCGTAAAACAATTATTTTGATAACTATAAGAAATACTTCGAATTGTTTAAAAGTTACCTAAAGTTTGGGACAAAGAATAATTATTATGGAAATAATGAGTGATAAGGAAGAATTTTTACTTTTGTCATTATTATACATTGTCAATAGATGGCGCCACCAGTTAAGAAATTTTGAATTATTTTTTTTTGAATGATGACAGCACTCTGTTTATGGCTTTTCCATGGTAATTTAGCGAAAAACAATAATTTCATGAAAAAAATACTTCGAATTGTTATTAAAAGTTACCTACCTAATGTTTGGGATAAGGCATTATTATGGAAATATTGAGTGATAACCAAGAATTTTCACTAACACCTCCAGAAATTACAGAAAGGGCGACAAATGCAGGTAATAATATACTACCGGACAAGTCCAAGAAAATTTGCGAAAAATTATATGAACAATTTATGGATTGGAAACACCAAAAACACATCGTCCTTCTCAGAAAATGTTTTGATAGTATATTTTGAAGAATTACAACAAAAAATGAAACCTTCAACTGTATGGATTACTCAATTATAACATCTCTATTCAAAGTTAAGCGTAATGTTGACATATCTAAATATCATCATATCAAGTTTTATCAATGGCAGTAGAAAAAATAGTGTATGCAACTCTCATGTAATAGCCATTAATACACTCGCATGTTATATACGAAACTCGCCTGCGGCTCGTTTCGTATCCTACAACATGCTCGTGTATTAATGGCTATCAATATACTATTATATCCTACTGAACTATTATAACCATATAATACCTTGCTTACGATAATCCTAAACAGGGTCCTTATTTCCGCGCAGGAGTTAGGACTTCATAACTTCTGCGCGAAAGTTGATAATTTCGTAACTCCCGCTTTTACATTTAACAGGTAAAACTTTGGGAAAAAATATAAACTTTGGTTTGGTGTATTCCTTTATAAAAATGGACAAAATACAATAAATTCAGTAGGAAATAAAAATATACCTCGGGAATTATCAGGTGTTAATACCCACGGGCAATTGGTGTCCCTCGATCCAAAAGCTCCACTAGTGGGTTATGGTTTATAACTCACTCTCCTATAATTTTTAAGCAAAACGTCAGAAAATAAAAATTTGAAAATAATGAAAATCCTGCTTTGAAGAAGACTGATTCCTAACAAAATACCTGTTAGTTTTTCCAGTTCTTGTATGCTGCTCGTGTGTTATGATTTCTAAGGTTGTTGGATAAAACATTGTATGCTACTCGTGTGTTATGTGTTCTAAGTCACTCGAGAAATTATGCCACTAGGCCTGACTTATTTTCAATATGACACAGTAGTACCATAATAGCTATTTACCTAACAAGTGCGGAAAAATATTTCCCGCGAGAATTAGGTAAAATAGTTTACCTACGAGCGTGCGATAAAGTGCACTTTACCGCACGTATTTGCAAATTGAAAGTAGCACTTTACCGAACACTATGCGGTAAAGTTAACTTTACAGCATAGTGTGCGGTAAAGTTAACTTTACAGCATGGTATGCGGTAAAGTGGACTACAAAGTGTGCGGTAAAGTGCACTTTACCGCATAGTGTGCGGTAAAGTAGAATTTGATATTTATAATCAAAAATCCTTTTTTTTTCCAGAAAATGGATTTTTGATAATTTCTAAATCTAATTTAATTTCATTAATTAATCTGATTCAATAATTAATTTTATCAATGCCCTTTTTTGGAGATGTAGATGCTCATAGGTAAAATTTTGTACCTAACACATGCGGAAAGTGCCTTTACCGCCCTTAACGGCTTGACCGAACTCCGCTTCGCGTCGTTCGGTGAACTGGCGTTGCGTGCGGTAAAATATCACTTTCCGCATTTGTTAGGTAAATAACTATTTTCT